AGAGAGAGAGAGAGAGAGAGGTCTACAATTAGTAACGAAGAAACCGAACGAAAGTAGGAGGAGAGAGAGTAGAACGTCTAGTAAGTTTAAGAGGGCTTTAGAGAGAGAGAGAGGGTTTAGACTTTGGAGAGAGAAGGGCGGAGTTTGTTTGGTAGGGGTTTGTTTGACGGCGCCAGTTGCGGGTCTGAATCGATGTGTTGGCCACTCTTTTTTAAATTCCTTTTTCTTCTTCCTCTCTTACTCCCTTCCGTGGGTCGGAGTAATTCACAGTTATACCATCGTCCGTACACATACAACGTAGAACTGCGGTAAAAGTGGAAGGTCCACCTACTTGTCCAATACAACAGAATAATCATTTACGACTTGGTGTTGGGTTGGGTTGGAGTTTGTTCCAGGGGCACTCGAGTAAGATGAACTTCTATAATCGGAAAAGTTTATATTGAGCCGCGGCTCTAAATAATCAAATTAGAGCCTACCCTAAAAATCTCAAATCCATCATCTCGACATCAAAGTGCATTACACGAGAGAAATTTTGATTTCAAGTTTTTGAAATAGTATATCTTGTAATATTTTTTTGAAATGTCAATTTTTTAGATTTTTAAGTTTTTATAGATATGCTTGATCTACACTATTTTTTAAGTTTTAAATTTTATAATTAGATAAGAAAATATATTTTAAAGCTGTCACTAAGATTTTCAATGTTGAAACCACAATTCTCAAATACTATTTAAAAGTGGGTCTACTTTGATTGTTTAGAGCCTCAGCTCTATGCAAACTGCACCCTTTAAAATTTGTTTGAAGATGTAATTGGGACATCAAAAATCTTATAACATCTTGAGAATCTATTTTTATCTTTCCTTATGAAATTTAAAATTTAAAATTTAAAAATAACTAACTAGATCAATAAACACTTGGAAAATATTAAAAGGGAAAGCTTTCTATGTTTCCCCTACAGCATCAAACTTATATCCTTCCCTTATCCAACCCACCCTCCATTCTAAATGTTTCCCCTACAGCATCAAACTTATATCCTTCCCTTATCCAACCCACCCTCCATTCTAAATAGCAGGGCTAAGATTGCCCCAATCACAATGTCACATCTCCATACTATTTTATTTATTTATTTATTTTTTATAAACTATTTTGACATCAAATTTTGGATGTCCAATTCCCTATTAGACTCGCACTAGTGAAAAATAATAAAAAAAAATTTTAATAAAATAAAATTACAAAATACCCTTAAAAGTTTTAAGGGGTATTTTAGTCATTATATTTTACCAAAAAATTATTTTACATATTTTTAATAGGTGCAACCCAATGATAATATGACACGTACCAAATTTCATATTCATATAATTTGTATAAAAAAAACTAAAAATAAAATATCTTGAGACGTCGAATCTAATATCAAACAATGAGTGACTCTCTTGATCAAAATTGGACGGCTGGATTGTAAGGGAAGCATAGATCTTCTATGTTATATGGGAAGTACAGAAACCTTTTCCATATTAAAAATAAACAACCCAAATAATGTGTTACAAGATACATTAATTTTCGGACTTGAAATTCTTTTTTTCTTCATATCCATACATCTCGATGTTAGAGATTATGATCAATTGGATGGTTCTTCAATGTCAGAATGCTCTCTTCTAAAAGATTTTAAGGTGCACCTTATATAAATTTTTTCCTTATTAGTATATGCCTAAAAATCCCTTAAAAATGTGAAAAGAAAAAAATATATAAAAAAAAAGGTTTTTTTTTTTGGGTTGGGAACGAGAGGGGGGTCGAGGGGGGATGGATACCTAGCTTGTAATGGTTCCTTCCAATTTTTGGTCTAGATCGAGTTATTTCATATCTAAGGGTGATAATCCAAGAGAATTGAGAGATTGAGGAAGATATTGCACATAATTAGAGTTGTGTGGGCAAAGTATAGATCTACATCTAGAGTTTTACATCTTTGCCGCATACCATTAAGTCTGAAAGAGAAGTTCTATAGGACGATTGTAAGATTGGTCATACTTTTATGGGGATTGAATGTTGAGCGGTCAAAAAATAACATATTCATATGATAAGCATAGTTGATATGAGGATGTTGAGATGGACAGAATTTTGAATCAATACATACGATGGAACTTAGGCGTAACTTTAATAGGCAATAAAATGAAAGAAAGTAGACTTAGGTGGGCTAGCCATGTGCAGTGTAGACCATACAACACTAATTAAGAGGCACAATTTGGTTCAAGTGAAAAGCTCTAAAAGGGCAATAGGAAGACTCGAAAGGACGTAGATAGAAGTAGTGAGAAACGATATGATGGTTTTTTGTCTTAATAAAAGTATGACTCTTGCTAGAGAAAAATGGAATAGTAGGATTCATGTCGCCGACCCCTATTAATTGAGATAAGCTTGGATAATGATGATGATAGCCGAGTGATTTCAAATCCATACCTCAAATTTTTATACCACTGGATAGAGATTTGTGATCTAGATCATGATCTCTAAATCATCAACAGAGACACGATAATCAGTTTCTTGACCAAATTACTAACCACATTCAGGGTATCCTATAGTTTGTATTCTACAAAATCAGAAAACCAATTCCAAATTATAGATTATGATGTCTATATCTTTATTCTTCTTTTTTTTTTTCTTTTTTTTTCTTTTTTTTTTATATGCTACATTACTGTGTCCTTTTTTGTAATGTCACTTGTCTTTCTCTCTCTACCTCTAAAGATGTCCTCGCCCCACCCAATTGGGTGAGGTTTGTACAAAGCGCCTTTCTTACGCTGTAGAAGTAAGGTGTGTCTCCAAATTTTGATTAGAGATATAGTCCCAATGTCAACAACTTTATGATGGTTTTTAAAAGCTATTCTTATCCCTAGTTATAATATGATACACTATTTTTAAGACATTAATTCTTAGTCTACAAAATTTGCTCAGAGATATAGTTCCTGTGTCTTATGATGGTTTTTAAAATCTATTTTTATCCCTAATTATGACATGGTGCACTTTTTTTCCTCGTATACACACATCTCAATGTCGAGATGATGAATTTGAGGATCCTCCAATATTGTAACACCCTTTTCTATAAGACTTTTAAGCTACATTTCACTTCAATAGTACAAGGTTGCAATTTTATATTGAGAAAAAGAAAATAAAAGTTGTTATATCATTTTCCTCCTTTTTCTTTCTCAAAGATAATGGGCTAGGGTTTTGGCATTGAGCCCCATGATAAATTCTCAAACTCTATTCTCACCAAGGGGATGGGTCCAAATCCCTATTTGCATTTTTTTTTTTTTCTCCCTCATCCCATTTTTCGAAAATGTAGATTCTTGAATGAAGTTTTATTTCCTCTTTTTTCAATATACCAAGTAAGGATTTGGGCCTCCACCTTAAGTGAGAATGAAATTTGAGACTTCATTCATGAAGCTCGATAATACTACCATCAAAACACAGGTCATTCTTAGTTGTATTTCCTCGTCTCTAGAGAAAGCGCTCTGCTGGAGATGAAGAGAGAAAGGGGGGGGCATTTTCGATGAAGTGCAACAGTCAAACATTCATTCAACAAACAGTTTGTCGTTGCCTTGGGACCAATTCCATTTTATATCCTTCTTGCTTTTTAATTATACAAGGATAAATGAAGACAAGGTCAATACAAGCCCCCCATGTTCCTGCCACCATGTGGCATGGAAACAACAAAAGAATCACCTCTCTCTCTCTAACTTGGGGTATAAAAATCAAAGGACCTTTCTCTCTCTACTTAAGAGAAAGAGAGAGAGAACTTGTTTTCTATGATAGGTGGTTGGACAACCGTGCTCCACTTCAACACTAGCCCCCTTGAGTTTAGCTTAAGAGTTAATTTTCCTTCCATCCTTTTTTTTTTTTGTGGGTGTGGTTGCAACCTTAAACAATCCAATTAACACGTACTTTCAAATTTTATCATAACATATAATTTTGATGAAATTTTTTTTAGGATTATCTCGAAATCTATTTCTATATTTAATTATAAAATTTTAAATTTTAAAAATGATTAAAATCAAGCAGATCTATAAACATATAAAAATCTTGAAAATGGACTGTCTAGATAATGTAATGCAAGATGCACGATTTTTATTTTTGAGACTCAAAATCTTTTTTTCTTTTATATTCATTCATCCCGATGTCGACATGATTAATTAAAAGTTTTTTTAACATTAAAACAACTGTTTCCAAATGGATTTTTGAGTTGCATCCGTAATCCTACATTTTAAAGTTACAACCTTATATAAACTTTTTTTTTTTTTTTAATATACGCCAACTTTACTTTCCATTTTTTTTTATTTTTTTATGTGAAAAACCTTATGATGTGTTATTTCAAGGG